GCTTAGAACTTGGACGTCGAATTGGTTTATCTGAAATGAATGCAGACCTTGCTAATGTTATGGAGAAAGTAATCGTTATTTTATAGAATAATATGATATGTTAATTTTATCTAAAAGGCCAGTATATTAACTGAATGTTTAGAAATAACTAGGAGTCTATAACAAATATGAAAAAGGATGAGTCTTGAAAAACATATGAATACAAACCTAGAATGGCATATGCGAAGAATACATTCAGTGATCTTTGAACTAAGTTTACTTGTTATGTGAAAAACAACAGTAAAACATATTATTCCTGGGAATCTTAGGAAGAAGTTGTTGTAACAAGTGACCACAGAATAAAAATGATTGAAGCCATGACATCTTTGTATTGCTTAGTTGCAAGTTTGTAGCTATTCAAATTATGCTTATACAATGAGAAGTAGTAGTAATTCACTATGTGCAACAAAACATGTCACTTTTTATAATGACTACAAATAAGCCCTGCGCTTTAACCTAGTTGGTGGACATGGAGAGTCCACCTAGGGGAATTGGAAAACCTTGATTACAAACCAATGGTGCAAATGGGCTCCACTACCCTGAGGAAACAAACGGCGTATGAACTAATCGTTGGTCACCGGCTACCATGGGACTGCATCTCATTACGATCCTCTACTGGCTTGTGGATCAGACCTTTAGGTCAAAGGCTCTGGGTGTGGCCCCCTGAGAAAACCACCTGCTTCGGTTTGGGCACCCGAGCAGTATCACAGCCCTCACACATATCAAATGAGATTTGTGTAGCGCATATGTATCTGGTGCCCCGTTGTACCAATATTTATGTGTTCAAATAAATAAAATAATTAATAAGACGTACTACTCCCTGTTATTTAGACAAAGTCGAATCCCGACTCATAACTCGATGTTTGAAAATGGAGTGAACAAGTTGATAGAACATGGTATTACATTAAAGTATCTGAAACTTTTAATCATTCAAATTATTTCATTATTTTCTCAATATGATGAAAACTTCTACTCAATGTCTAAAAACGTTATACAAAACATCATTTTTGATATATTAGTTATAAATGTTACATTGAGTCAAATATATTTTCTTGTTTCATCGTTCAACTCAAGGAAATGTTTAATTAATGTTTTTTTAAATGATGACAATGTTAAGGTTTCACAGCGTTTAGATGAAACGGCTCTACTTGAACTTAAATGTACACAGAATACATCTAATTTGAATAGAACCATTACAGAATTAAATTCAATAAAACGAAGTACAGATGAAGTGACCAAGAGAAGTGAAGAATACATACAAGAAAGGAAAATACTAAATGAAGTAAGTTAAATAACTATTTTGATGATGCAATATCAATAGATCTGGTAACAATAAGGAACTATCAATACAAAATATGGAGACGTTATAATCATATAAACATTTTTTAAGAATTCGACCGAAATCCCCCTTTAACCAACTAACCATAAAAAAGGGATTTCACTATGACATTACCTTTTTTGGTATAATTTTATTGTGATGTATCAGTGTTATATATCAGTGATAAATCAGTGTTCTAATTAATTTAATCATTTGGTAAATTATTGTAAGCTTCCCATATTTACAAAAAATTATTAGAACATTACTTTGAATAAGAGATGAAAATGAAAATATCAGTTTTAAACGGGAAACTGGTAGAATTTATCAGTAACATGTTAAGAATGATACTTGTGTAAGGTGTATATGCAAGTGTAATTTGACAAAAGCGCGATAACAGTCTTAAGGTTAGTTAAAACAACCAGATTTATCAGTTTTTAGCCTAACTTATGTTTTTACTTGATGAGTAAATACAATCTGCATATTTTAACAACCACTGAAGATATATAATTTCCTGTTTTAATGTTCAATGGAACAGTAGAATCTTACTATGGTAATTCATTGTAAACGGTACTCATTTCATGTATATTAATAGGATTAAAGAATTGGATTCATTTTATATCAGAATCAAATCTACAGACAAATAGATGGCGTCGCGATGGGTTCACCCCTGGGTCCCATATTGGCAGACATTTTCCTTTCTAAACTAGAAAACGGCCCACTGGCACAAGAGATCGATAAGTTTCCATTGTACTGTCGATATATGGATGATACATTTATCCTTTGTAACGAGCGTACGGACTTGATAAGAACACTCGAGCAATTCAATACAGCTCACCCGTCCATAAAATTCACATGTGAAAAGAAAATGGGGGTAAAATAGCCTTCCTAGATGTTCTGCTTACAAGGAGAAAAGATGGATCGCTAAAAAGAAACATAAACAGGAAAATGACCTGGACGGGTCAATATACTAACTTTTTCAGTTTCGTTCCTCTACAACAAAAAAGGAACCTTATCAAGACACTACATCATAGAATCAAGACTATATGCACTGTGGATACGATTGAAGATGAAACAAAGAGATTGTTTACAACCCTGAAAGAAAATGGATATCCAGAGAAATTTATAAATAAAAACTTAGCCAATAAAAGACAGCGTAGAGAATGTCCAACAGTAAATAGAAAGCCTCTATATATACGCTTACAATTCAGAGGAGACGCGCCGAGTGAAATGTTAAGACTTAAGTTAAGTAGATCGATTCAAAGGACTTTCAACGCAGCCAAACTACAACTAGTATTCTCCACACGACCAATAATCACTCCGAGGTTGAAAGATAAATTACCTAGACTAGCCACCTCCTTCTGTATCTATCAATTCAACTGCTCCTGTGGAGCAAGTTATATCGGCAGATGTTCTAGGAATTTGTACATTCGGGCTCGTGAGCACCTACCCGTGTGGTTAAGCAAAGGTGTTGTCAAAACTGTTAACAGCTCCATCTTAGACCATTTAGTCCAAACAGGACATACAGCCAACATGGAGCAATCTTTTGCAATAATCTATCGTGTCAACAGCAGTCTACCTAATTCCGTCAGACTGCGAATCCTACAGACGGCTGAAGCAATTGCTATTCGGATCAAAAAGCCAGAGCTTTGTATCCAAAAGAAGTATGTTCAGCCTCTCCTTTTACCCTGGCCAACTAGCTAATAATCAATCTTATAATGTGGTGACATAATCTGATTAATGTTCATTTTATGTCCCAAACTTATTATTATTATTATTATTATTACTATTATTGTCTTTACACTTGATAAACCCTTTTTGAGGAATTTATTTAATATCCACCCCTGAACCTACTATATTTGACCTGATTATTTTACATATTACGCAATTTCCGATTTGTAATCACAATATTCTCTCGCTCTCTCTCTTACCCCATGTTGACCATATTTATTCTGATAATTTATCTCACAATTTCATTTTGCTTATAAACCGTTTCAAGTTAACACTTCATATTAGTCAGCCCCAACATTAACGATTTTATTTTTATATAACAAACAATTCCTGATTCACATATTACCATTTCCAAATGATGATGTATTTTGCCTTAAATCTGGCCAATTTTATGGATTATTAATCTGGATTTATAATTGTAGAACCTGATGAGAAATTATTGAAAAGAATATTCTTCGTTCATACAATTGTGTTTTTAATATAATGGGAATTTTTCATCAATATATCAATCGTTCCAAGTGAAACAGGATAAAAATTTTTTACATAAAATAAAGTCATTTGTTTTTAAAAAACTGATTACTGTCAGATAATAAAAATAATGCTCACTTTACTCTATATCATATATTTCATTAAAGAAAACAACTCTCAGCACAGAATATGAGATACTGAAACCAAATTCACATTTTGTATACATTTAATTTGTGAATATTACAAAAAGTTATATTAAAAAACTCTAGTGAGTGATGTGTTGTCAATCATATTCATCCGTCAATGTTTACGACTAGTCTGCCACCAATTCTTGTACTTCTTTCATTTATTGATAACTAGATTCATCTTAAGTAGTAATATCTTGTGAAAATGCGTAAGTAAACGGGGTGAACGGATATAATTAGTGACTTAAAATGAATATAAGAAAATTTGAGATGGTTTGAAATATCCTGTTGCCTATATTTTTGACTGATATTTGATTAGTCTTAGTTGGAATTTGACCATCCTGTCCGGATTGTCTCGTTAATATCATTAAGACACAAACTGATATAGAATAGATGGAACGGGGCTAGTAGCAGGATCCAGGAAGCGCGTTTGGTTTTGTCTGGGATTGTTTAGTTGGATGTACCTGCACTCCGAAACTGATGTCCACTTCGAGACTCAAACCCAATACCATTTACGTCCATTTAGCCACACACTAATGCAATGGAGTGAATTCTAATTCATATACACTGGTGGCTTGAATCTTCCCACTGATGTTTAGTTTCCTCAGGGATATATATATCCTGTGCAAATTGCTTCGATGTAGACATTACGTCACGAGAAGTTTTAGGCAGAGATAAATGGTAGCTAGCAGTGGAATCCAAACCGACCACTGCTGAACAAATGTTAGTCAAAAACATCGACAAGGGGTTAATCCGAATAACTTAAGGTTGTATTAAATCTCATACTCGTTACAAAGAAAAGCCTTTAGCAATGAATGGATTTTTGGAAAAGTGGTGACTCGTTATTTTCAGAACACCATTGTTTCTTTGGTACTTCATAGACTGAAATCTACTGTCGTTTATCAAGTTCATAAGAACCAATCTTTTCATCACAGAACTTGAAAATGAGAAACCTAACCTCCTTCAATGACTAATAATCTTCACAACTTGTTGATAAACGCCGACAAGCACAAAACCTGGACATGTTCCCTATTAATGATAATCTTTAACCATCTGACACTCATCCATATGGCTTTCTCATTTTTATTCACTTAAACTAATGACCAAACTCCATATTATGTGAATGAGATTTCAGGTTACACTGAGATCTCAACAATATAATATCAGTAGTTGCTCAGTGTCTGATTAGTTCTGTCGACTTCATATAAAATACAATTAAATAAAACTCTAACTAAAGTAGTTATTTTTTGTTTTTACTACTAACCAGCAATACTTTACATTCATTTATAACAGAAAATAAATTTGCTTGAGGCTAAAAATGCAGATTTAACTTCACAATTAACATTATTACAAAATATGTCACAAGCAAAAGAAATTATCATTAAAGATCTACGTAATCAAATAGATGGATTACAAAATAATAAACAATTAATTGAAGAAAGAAATAAACAAACTGCATTCAAACTTCAAATAGAAAGTACACAAATGAAGGCTCTATTGTAAGTGAAAATAAATAAGATAAATAATTGAAATGATATTGGTCAATAGCCAGTACGTTTGTATTTAACTGGCTTAAGAAGTTCGACACACAGCAACGAGCGATTCATCTAGGTTTTAAACGATGTTCACTGAATTTATAAGCCATTCTTTTTTCTCAATAATAAACGCTAGATCCAAACTTTCATTTCTTTTTTTCTATTTATTTTTAAAGTACTTTTTGTACTTCTGCTAGAGAGTAAGCATATTGCAACGTAATTTAACTGATCGTAGAGTTCATGAATAAGTGAGTAAGAATGTTAATAAATAAAAGATATAGTTAAGTTAAAATCTCAAACAAGAAGCGTTTCTTTTAGCTGACAAATATCCTCTCACTTTTATGGAGAATGCAAAGATAAAATAAGATATCAGTTAGGTTTTATTTTGAGTCATATCTTACGTTGCAGCACCTCGAAGACCCCGGCCATGATGTTGTAATGGACCAACAGAAGCCAGAGCCACAAGATCACAGAATAATCAATCTTCTCCTCTATCCACCCAGTCCTAATGTTGGCAAGTAATGAGGGATGTGGAAATCGATGAAATAACATTCGTTGGTGTCCAAAGATGGAGACACTAAGTGAATCTCTGTCGTTATAACCAAAAACGGACTGCTGGACAAATTATCGTTAGCATGTTGTTGCTACCGAATGCGATAGACTCTTTGAGATCATCGATTATAGAACACTGAGAGCCGTCGAATGTTTTCAGCCCCAAAAGAGCCAGTTTTGTAGCATACGGCGGGACTGCTCTTAGCGGTCCTTCCATACTCAGCGTTTTACAGCTAGATTGACTTGGTTCATAATAGCATAAATTTCACGAGATTCATCATACTCAAACACCAATATCGGCATTTACATAACTACCTAAAGTATCAGATGCAACTATTATTCACTCTCAATCTAGATTAGATAGATAGGTAGAACAGTTTAAGGAACAGTTCGACTGCCTTTCAGCTAGCCTTCAATTATTGTCTATCCCCTATCAACCTGAACAATAAATCGATACAAGTACTCAACAGTAAATGAAGTTGAAAATGATATAGATAGTCCAGAACGAGAGAGAGCAGGACGACCTTATGACAAAACACCAAAAATAAATAAATCTGTTAACAGAAAGTACTTACCAGAAGGGGTTTTGTGGAGATTTTGGTAATTTCAACAGTTGAAAGTGCTTACATTTATGTAATTAACATGAGATTACCCTAAGTGTTAGAAACATTTTGTTGTTATCACTTCATTATTTTTTTTCTACACCAGAACATCACTTTCTGCATCTTTATCAACAATTGATAAACCATGTGAACCAACTGAAATAGGTGTCAAAGAATCTATAGTGAGAATTTTAGATCAAAATGTTCAAATGCGTGAGGTAAGCTGATAGTTTATTCATAGATAAATGGTTAAACCCGACCTTAGCTGTTACCTTGACGCGGTGGTTGGGCTGGCCTATCGTGATGACCCAACCGAGCTATATTGACTGGAACATATGTTCCTGTAGGTTCTACCATACCAGGCAGGTCGACTGGAGAACGGTAAGACTAGAGGCAGCAACTCAAGGTCTGAGGGCGAAGTCGTACTGCTGACTGTAGAGGGGTGTGACAGCAGCAAGGTGTTTCCCTCGGACAACCAGCATCTGCGGCGATGCTGCCTTCTCACAAGGACGGAAGGGGTTAGGATGGAAAGATGTTCGGGATGCGATTCTCCCCCTCGAAATGCAAAATGTTGCTTCAGGATTGGGTGGCATTGACACTTGAACTAATGATAGGGAGTGAAGTAGTTGAGCGTATCGACCGCTTCACTTATCTTGGAAATCTCATCAGCCCTTGTAGTCTGGTGTGTGGCGAAATCTCAGCACGGATACAGAAGGCTCGACTAGCTTCTGCAAAATTGCATCATTTATAGCGTAGGCGAGATATCCGTCTACCAACCAAAGGACGTGTTTACTGCGCAGCAGTTCGTTCCGTCCTACTTTATGGCAGTGAAATATGGCCATTAAGAGTAGAGAATATTCGTACGTTGCTAGTATTTGATCATAGGTGTCTTCGAAACATCGCTCCTATATCCTGAGACCATCGAGTAAGTAACGCAGTTGTTAGGAAACGGATACTAGGTAAGAGTGGCAAACCAATTGATCAAGTAGTGAAACTTCACCAGTTGAGATGGCTGGGACACGTTTACGTATGCCCAATCACCGACTGCCCCGGCATGTGGTCTTCAATGGTGTAGGAGTAGGTTGGAAGGAAGCTAGGGGCGGCCAGACCAAAACATGGCACAAGTCCATGAAGTCACTGACAAGTGGACTGGGCCATGTAGGTAGGTGTAGACTACCTGGTTGGGGACCGCGAGATGATAGCAACCGATGGTTAGAGACTCTGGATGATATGGCTCAAAATCGTTTGCAATGGCGCAGGTGCATCCACTCTTTGTGTTCTCCCAAATTCTAATCTTCTGAATTCTTCATGTCCCTTTCTTTTTTCTCTTTCCAAATTTATTTCACTGGATTATAATTCTTGAATAACATCTTCAAACCCTAATTTTCCCGATTACTGCTTATACTCCTACTACCTATACCATTACGGGACTTGAATCGACAACAGCATCTCTGTGCTAATATGGTGTGGCAACTCGAACTGATGTATGTACGTATGAAGTTCTACGTTGTTACTGACTGACTGATTAAACTCAGTATTATATGAATTGTACATAGTTGATTCATGTAACAATCTTGAAAAAATAATATTGAGCAAAATGTTATTTAATTTGACAAATAGAATGTATTTCGTGAAAGTTTCAGTTATAGTTTACCATGACTTGTATTCTAACGGAAAACAATAAATAATCCCCAACAATGGTATTATTTCATTCTCATATAGTTATTATCTTCACTTATAATATTATAATCAATTGTTTACCTAAAATAATCACTTACTGTTTATTTTATTTATTTAAGGCTGGAAATAATTTTCAAAGTAAAGTACTTGAACTTCAAAATCAATTTGAAGCGCAACATAAAGCTGGTTTAGCAATGAATACAGAATTGAAACAGGCAAGAGAACGAGTACAACAAGCTGAAACTGATTGTGCACGAATAGAAACTGAATTATCAGGTCTTCATCTTCTATACAAGCAAGATCAGGAATTAAAAGAGAAAGTCAGTAAAATACGTAAAATAATTACTTGTTAAATAATTTCGATGTTAAAATGATGTTTTCAGTAAATAAGTTCATTTGAAAGGTAAATAAGTATTTAGATTATTATTCTCATAACTTCAGAATTAGGCAATTTTTGGCTGCTTCAGAGACACCAGTATTGGATTTGAGCTGCATTGGCATAATGAACGAAAACTCAGGTGGGAAGAACAAATTAATTGTTCAATGCATTATCGCACAGCGACTTATTGAAATGTGAAAATCATACACTGAATACATCATTTGCACAATCTTTTACGAAATCGATTCATCTGAGTTGGCAACAATGAATATTGTTTTCCTAAACCAAGAATCAGCATACTCATTGATTGTTGGTCTGACCAATGTCTGTAGATGCAGCCTATCTGATTGTGTTGGCGAAGTAACCATGATGAATGGCTAGAGACTTTGAGTGACGTGACACAAAATTGTTCATAAGGGCGCAGATGCATTAAGTGTTTATGCTGCTGTCAGTCTTGAATTTCAATATTATTTCATACATACCTTCCCGTATTATTTTCTAACCATATTCCTCAGATTTAATCTCTTTTGTTACTACATGATTCCGAACTTTTTTGTTATTTTCATCTCATCATACAAATGTAGTATGGCAACGTGGGCCAACCCACATCTGCATCAGGCCCCATTTTAAAGATGGTCGACAACTGGTGGCTTAATTGCAATTTAGTTTAATAATAATGAAAAATGTATTTACCATTACTTAGGTGAAATCGTTGTTGATCCAACTGTGCGATTATTTGAGCATACAAATCGATCATCAAGAGGCTAAACCAACTGAAATGATTTCAGCTTGTCTAGGTAAGACATTTCTCTTTAGTTGATTTTGTGCCATCAATTATTATGGTTACTTAAAGATAATACTAAGAAATTTTAGTAAGACAAGTTAGATTTTAACGAAATGTTTGTATTTTGGTGACTTTATTAAAAACTAACTTATAAAAGCTAACGTTATCCTAATACGTGGAGGACAGACTAATTTAATTCAAATTCACTGTGATGTTAATAGTCACAAAACCAAGGTCTCAGTTTATCTGGACAAATGTACAGTTCTATTTAATGTGTATACAAAACTGTTTTTTTCTCATTATAATTATTTATACTTAATAGAAATTTTAAAACACTTAGAGTATCATTGTATAATTTTTGTTTGTTGAGTGTAACGAATAATTTCTACAAATGTACTATCAGTAAAGTGGGGAAAACATTTGAAAAACAAAAAAATTAAAGATATTACAGTAACACAAATGGGCCTCTATGTCATACTAAGTGTACTTGATATTAAAATATACTTGTTCAAGCTCTTTACCTAGAAACATATACTTGTACTTTGATACCAAGTTACACTATAGTGGTATTACGTGGGTCTGATCAACTAGTTTAAGGAATTAGGATTATCCGACACGAAACCTTGAAACATTCCCTATTAAATAGTTAAATTTTGATAGTTAAGGCTGTTTAAATTTACTAACTTTCTAGGTAACAAGTTTTATTTTAAATTAAATAGATAAATAAATCATACGTCAATCTTTAGTTTCAATAAGTAAACTTATTAATCAATTCAAAATGGATGTAAGAAATAGAACCAATTAATGTTGATCTGCGTACTTAATAAAACATATTTCCCTAAATGTATTTAATATTATTATTAGATAGGGGTTTTGTGGATATTATAGTAATTTAATACTTGAATTCATGAATCTATTGAAGCTAGACCACCATGAAAAACCTGAAAGCACTGAACGTTCGAGTTTGTTGTGAGATAGTAACTCACGAAAGACAATGGTGGACAGGGCGCAATTTCGTGGATTGGTTAAACTTAGGCATTAACACTATTGGATACCGGCTTAGTGGTCTGGAGGTTAAGCGCTAGTGCGTGAGACTGATAGGTCCTGGGTTCGAATCTCGCGAAGCAGGATCGTGGATGCGCATTGCTGAGAAGTCCCATACTAGGAGGAAACTGTCATCCAGTGCTTCCAGGTTTTCCATGATGGTCCAGCTTCAATTGACTCATGAATTCAATTATTAAATATTTAATATTAAATTTTTTTTCAAAAGAATACAGAATTAAAACTTTTAATTCTAATATTGTTTAATAATTATATTTACACCTTAGAAATTTTATATAAAATAATTGTATAAAGAGATTTATAGTAAATTTTGTTATTGAGACTTATTATGTATGTTACCTAAGAGTTTAAGTCAATCAACAACAAGAATTAAATTAAAGTGATTGTTAAGTTTATTGTTTATTGATATTTTCTAAATAAAACAAATCTATACTCTGTGAAATAATAATAATATTATTATTAGTTATATCACTAAGGGTATCATTTCTATTCCCCTAGTAAACATGATTTAGTGTCACCTAGGAATCTAAATAGTACTCATTTCTGTTAGGTCCCGATAAACATAATGAATGGTAACTTTGGGATCCTTTTATGGACCAGTACTAACGTATATGTTTATCGTATAATTATTAAATAAATAAACTATTCATATTCATGTTCCTCTTATTATAAGCTTTATTTTAACCTATGAACTGTTATTATACGATTTTCCCATTCTTGAATTATTCCCTGTCTATTAGTCACTGCCTCCCTCATCCATAGCCACATCTGGCTAATTCTTGTATAAATGTTGTTTCATATTTTATTGGTACTTTGTGGTCTGTTTGATTGGTATATAAACACAGTATGTTTGAAATATAATGATTCATATCGCAGAGGCTCGGATTGGTGTTCTGGACTTAACTGGCTGGGCTAGGCGGAAAGCAGGACCAATCAGAACTCCAGGTTGCTCATACGGGTTGACGCATCATTGTTCCGATCGATAAGTCACTGCTCTCTAATCGGCGGTCACAACCTATAAGAATTTTTTATTATGTTATTGACCTGTTGCTTATGAAATATTAAAGAATCCTTTAGAAGTTACATCAGCTGGCTGATAAATAAATAAAGTTTATCATTTACTCAAATTTTAATCTATTAGTGTTTGTATTATATAATAAATACTTTTTTCCCTGAGTTATTTTTTCTTGCCCAACTTATTTAATTTACAGATCGTATTGAGCATCTATTAAATAGAGGTTGCTTACCATGGGTATGTGTTCAGTCAAGTGAAATACGTGATCATCATCATTTTAAAAATCATGAACCATTAGTTCCAAATGAACAATTTGTTCGGAATTGTGATAATTCAAATAAATGTTTACATGATCTAGAATGTCATCAGTCACATTTACCATGCCATTTACAGATGAGCAAAGAGCTGTCAGAAAATGATTGTGATCATAAACAGATTGAATATTTAACAGATCAAATTATAATGAAACAAGGTCAGTTATCATTAAAAGATTGGCGATCAATCAAAAAATTGTGTAACTTATGTAATGAGAAATTAATAAAATGTTTTTCTGATCAACTGAGTGAATTATTTGAACAAATAACAGAAATTCATAAGGCAAATGCACAAAATCCGAAGTGTAATGACCAAATTTTAGCTAAATTACAAGAAGAACTTGAAAGTAAACAGATAGAATTGAATGATGTCAAAAATAACTTCGAATCACAAATCTTAGATAAAGTAAGTTGTTAAATTTAGGACGACAATAAATTTTAACATTATTTTTTGTGAAGTACATTAAATATTGTAAATCTGGCAAGTATTCAGTTGTGTGAATGTAGTCTACGTCCATAAATTAAGTACTTAAGTATTTATATGCATACATATTTAGCTTTTTATGTTTATACTGTAATCTCACTAAACATTCAGTCACATGTCCGAACCCAGCTTCCTTTTGAACATCTGGGTAGATTCACTATCTATCATATAAACAGGGTAATCCAAAACCAACTGAATACAAGTGAACTTCATAAATGTGTTAATTTATGTCTCAAGTATGGTAAAGATAATTCCTAGAGCTAAGATCATTTAGTAAAAGCCATAATATCAGTGACATCTATTGATACAACTTCTAATCTCTCGTACATTGCTGCCGTAATACTTGAAAATGCTAGACAAATATGAATCTATACTATTCAATATTGTTATAATAGATGACCTGACAAATTATCTAAACTTTATACCAATTTTTATTCCATACCATTATTAATAAAGTTTAGTACGAAACAACATATTTAACATAACAGTTTATATATGTTAAAGCTGAGGTGATAAAAAAAGAAGGGGGTGAAGTTATAAATAATAATAAAGAGACAATGAATCAAAACAAGTTGTTACCAAATGGCTAACAATCAAGGCTTCTGTTTAATACAAAATTAAAGTTTATGTCATCAGTGAATGTCAATGGAAGTCTTACCTTAAGTTATAAATCATAATGAGATAATACAACTGTCTTACCATGGTAATGGTAGGTTTAGTACATTTTCTTTCTGTATACAAGTCAGGTTGGAAGCGCTTGATCGCAATGGCCTCAGAAAAGTGGTGCACATTGCCTGTTAATTATTTTGAATACATTTGAAACAACCACGTTGTGTCTACTATCTATCAAATGCTTAGTGATCGCACATAAAATAACTTTACTTCGCTTTAACCACAACATACAGTGAATATATTCCGAAAACCTTGCTGATACCCGTCTTTCAGTCCTTCCTATGTACTTGCTTCCACAAGTACATGTAAACTGGTAAATACATTTCGAGGCGACCTCAGAAGGCTATTGATCCATTTTGATTGGTTTAAAGAATATCTGGTGTTATACACCAAAAATAGTTGGGTTGCAAAAAAACTTCTCTTTAGCACTGCTATAATCCTTTTACCAACTCTGCCTGAAATCTCCTTACCTTTTGAATGTAAGACGAATGAAGGCAGGTTTTCTATTAACATTTGGTTAAGACTTTCAGTAATCGTTTTGCCATACTTCAAAATAAATTTCTTTGTGTATCCATTATTTAACTCATTTTTTTTCATATATTTACCTTAATTAATGTGAAGGTTCTAGAGGAGAACGTTTCGAAAAGTATGGAGAGAAGTTTCTAGAAAATAAGCGATACCAAAGTTACGCAACAACAACGTTAAAAATTGGATAGATTGACAGAGTAAAATAAATAAAGTTCATTAAATATGCAAGACTGTGGAAAAAGAATTTGTAATTGAGAACATGAAATGTTACGAAACCAATTGTTGTAAGCTGAAGTCCTTAGGGTGATGCGAGACTGATAACTGCATCATAATGAATGAGTGGATCCGGTCACATTCTTTTAATAAAAATGCCTTTGTCAAAATGTAACAGATTTGAAGTTGTTTGGGTAGTGATTATTTGAGAAATCCTGAAATCAAAACACCACGTCCACCGACAAATAGATGAATGTTGATTGCACTGCTGAAAATATGTTGACCTTTTTTGTCTCAGCTAGTGTGGAGTGTCCTTAGAGTTTTGTAAATAAATAAGTTCGTAATAGAGTATCATTTTCGGAAATTATAAATGATACTAGTAAATCTATAAATAAGTTATAAATTCACTTCTTATTGGTTACTTGAATCTTCCATTGATGTTTAGTACTGCAATTGATCAGTCTCTTGTTGGCATTGTGCATCCTGTGCGGACTGCTTCGATATTGCCTTAGATCACAAGCTTTATAAGCAAAGATAAACAGTGGCTATCAGCGGAACCCAGGACGCGCGTTTCGTCCTATTTGGGACTCGTCAGCTGGACATACTTACATCTCTGAATTAATGTTCATTCTGGAACTCGAACCCAGTACCGTTCGCTTCAAACGCCATCGTGTTATCCACTCAGCTACTGAGTCCTGATGGCCACTTGCTTGTCGATAGGGTGAAGTTTAAATTCAGGGTCCAGAGTAAACATCAATTCTGAGATGCAGATACATCCAGCTGACGAGTTCCAAGTAGAACGAAACGTGCGTCTTGAATTCCAACGCTAGCCACTACCCATCTTTGCCTATAAATAAGTTTGCTCGCATTTACCAGAATAAAGCGCAGTATGTAAGTAACTTGTAAACTAGTGTTATTAATAATATCAGTCCATTCACGTCAGCTGACTGGATTTATCTCTCAATCAAAGACAGAGACCAGAATTATTTACTGCGATGTACTAAACCAATTAATTGTAGACTAGTTAACTTGTTGTCCGAAACAGTATATAAAACTACATTTAGAAAATTGGACTAATAATTAGTAATCTACTGTATAAACTAAAAACTCTTAATCACCACTCACACTAAAATTACTTCGTCAAAACTAGATGCATAGTAAAGTTCCATACAAAATCTAAGAAAACTTTAAAAAGTATATGATTGGGGTATACTTTGAAAGCAAAATGTTAACAGGACTGAAATTTCAAATAAACCGACATCATAGAATACATAAGTTAAAGCAAATACATCACTTGGTACTTTTACTACTTTCAACTCGTAGTATTTCATTCACGTCGTTATCTTAGCTGATAATATATTTTTACAAGTTCACAATTATCAATAGCTTGAAAATAAGCTGCTTCAACTAATTTCTTGCATAGAGATTTTATAACACTACATTTTTCATATTTAAAAAAAAAATTAATAAAATTAGGATAAACAAATTGAAAAATTGAATGGATCTTTGAAACTTCAAATACAAAAAACGGAGAAATTTCAAAAATTAATTGAACAGCAACATTCAAATTCACAAAATAAACATGAAGCATTTAAAATGGCAAAAAGTTTATTAGTTAATGTACATGCTAAAAAGAAAGAAGTAAGTTTAAATTCTACTACTACCGTAATAATTATTAACAATATAATTTGTTAAAGAGTGAATAAGAAATTTTCTAGCTGTAATTAGTATATCAATATTCAGTCTTGTTTTCAATTTATTAATTGAATCATGGAATAAAACGAGATTCAAAGAAGAGATTCCCATTTTAGTAAAGCTTAAGCGTTCACGTGCGAAATCGGAATACCTGGGTTCGAGTCCTACGTGTAGGATTGCAGATGCACACTACTGAGGAGTTTCATACTAGGACGAGACGGTCGTCCAGTGCTTCCAGGTTTTCAATGGTGATCTAGCTTAGATTGACTCACGAATTCAACCATTAAGATTTAATTATTAACGAAAGCATTGTAATGCACAAAACTCAGCTCCGCAATTTCATTGAATAATAATTGATAAAACTTTTGGGAAATTGGTAAGATTGAATGTAATACTTAGTAAGAATGAAACTTTAACAGAAAATGAGTCAAAAATTATAAAAATGACAAAAAGAAATACGAACCTAGCAAAATACTGAGACAGAATATGCAACTTGTGTTAATTCTATCCGGTAATTTATTTACTCTGAAGAAGCGGCATAAAACTAAGTCGCAAAACATCAGAAATACATTTTTTCTACTCATTGGGATATAACGAAAAATATATATATCAGCTCACTAACCAATGCTCATTTTTTTCAAAACTATCTAGCCCAACCTTGGCATTGATACGTATAAACAATACTCTAGTTTTAATTTGAATGGTGACTTTACCTACTAATTTCCATGCAAAGCAGAAGTAACCAAAATGCTTTTAAGAGTAACAAGATTTCATTGACACCTTTTTTATGAAGTATAAAAGGATGTGTTATGCCGAAAAGCTAACCTACAAAACCTTTTAATCACTAGGATATTTCATTGATCTATAGTAGCGTCTTACTCTCGCGTGTGAGAACAAAAGAAATGCACCATTTTCTCAATAAACGAGTGATATTATTCTTGATAGGCCATTAAGTATTATTTGGTCACAGGACCTATTTCCTAATGATAACAGACAAAAAATGAGTGACTTAATATTGTAATACACATTATTCAATACTGAAACTTTTAAGAGTCAATAATGAGCCCTAAATTTAGTATGCAGCTACTTAAAACAATATTCTGTCAACGTGTTGCATAATATCCAGTATTTAGTTAGTGTACAAATTCAGTCCCATACCTTCCCGGTCATACTGGATACCATCAGAAATCACGAAACCAAGTAGTGGAGATTCAGATCCATAAGAGGCTGTCAGTCTCCTTGAGGCTATGAAGTTCGAGTATCCCTAAAAACATTGCTAAGCATTAGCATAACACGAGCTTTTGTTTTATTTTTAAAAGCTCGGGACATTTCGGGATCTTATCGGAAGAATGCTGGATGTGGATACGCGATTTTCTCCAAATCCTGATATGATGATATTTCAACGACTTCAACAACTGATAGACTTTGCAGTTTCTAGCCGTTTAACATCAATTCAACCTAATATAACAACCTCATTTAGTAACACCCCTAATAATACATTTTATCCTTTTATAAATTCTTCTAAATCAACAATGAGTCAAATCCCTATTAAACCGTTAAGTTCTACGTATACAAACAACCTAGCTCTACCGTTATGGGATAAACATCGTGAAGGTAAGGAAAAGTGTTTATGAATTATGTGATGAACAATAAGCAGCAATATAAATCACAAACTGCGAGTCGCACATACTAATTTTAGTTACTGTTCTTTTATGATATATAAATCAGTACTAAACTTTGTTAGTCATCTTATCAAATAGGTAAAGAGCGAACACTTCCAATGGCCTAAAAATAGAACATTGAATAACATTAAATCTTCACAAGGATATTTCTTCACCAAGTAGTAATGTGGTCAAAGTTATCCCTACATTAAAAGCACTCATATAAAAGCCAACTTTCACAATTTAACTCAATAAATCAAAATTCATGGCTATATTATACATATTCGATGGTATTAATTTTCAAATCAAACTACGGTCCTAGTCCATACGAAAAATAAGCTGATACAGGTAGATACTGCCTCAGACAACAAATACGACTACCCCCTAAAGCACCTTCAGTTGATCACTGGCATAGTAGAAACTGAGACATATATGCATAGAGTCAAATAGTCACAGAATATTATCTCACTACATTGGAGAGATACCAGAAGACAGTGCCTTGTCTGTGATCACAAAGAATCATTACTGGACGAAAATATGATTGTCCATTAAAACTTTTAGCCAATCGAAAATGAAGATAAAAAATGGTTGGATTATTTACACTGACTAAAAGAAAGGATAAACAAGACAATTGGGGATATGTAGTCGAATCTCTGTCTGACTAACTACTACAAATGTTTATTTTAATGTTACCATTAACAAGTGTTCTCTAAAATATATGTGGATTTTGATAAACACTCATTGCCAAACCAGGCGAACCTTGTGTGATTTGGAAATACGTATCTCTCTCCCACTTACTGCTTAATAACACTAGAATTTCAGTAAACTTTAGTCAATGCAAAAAACCTACAATTAGTTACTAATTCTAATATCCAGATGCAATTGATTTCTTTTCTAAAAAGTGATGCCTGTTATCGTATGTACTTCGATTTTGAAGAATAACCGGTTGTTTCGAAATCTGTCTGAGTGCTGCAGTGTTTTCATTACGAATAATTTGTACTTCTTTAACTACATACATCTCGTTCAGATAGAATTCATTAATTTCCAGTAAATTTAATTACTCAAATGGATTGTCACTACTTGATTTTCATGTTTGTTTTAGGCCACTTGGACTTGCAGTCAAAACACCAAGGAAAATTAGGCCTACATCAGATGAAATGACTCAAGCAGAAAGTGAGAAAAAACAAATACACCGACAAAGTGTGCAAGAAAATAAATCAAAAGCCTCCACTAAATCCACATCTAATGTACCGAAGAAATCAGAATCCCGCATTCAAAAGGATGACCGTCAATACTAGGAAAATATTCACATGACACTACTACCTCAGGAAGTAGGCACTTTATTTAAAATACCTCAAAACACTTATAATACCAACAATAGATTATTGCTCAAAGTCCAAACCTTTTAACTTAAAGTAAGAATTGGGAGTAGATCTCATGTCCAATGCTAACCAGATAAAACAAGCTTAGAAACAGACAGTAAAACGAAAAATGCCACTTTCGTTAACCGATGTGGTCAAAACTTTGCTATCATCGAAGGTGGAAGATAAATGTATCTTGTCATAAATATATTTAAACCATTAACTGAATGTGATGAGACATAGTAGGTATTATTGAGGTTAAGAGTTACGTTTTTTACAGTAATAGTAAGTCAGTAGATGGACTTGCAAACCAAAACGATGTGGCTTCTGGATCATGACCAAATAATCGTATTTTGCAGACAATTGTGACTTTTATCAGAATTTAAGAGTTATGGTGAGCAAAAGACTTTCACTCATATATATATTTAAATAATCCAGTGAAGATAATCAATTGAATTAAATTAGTGTAGCAATATCATCATTTGCTAAATAATGTGTGACTCATAATCGAATGATAAGTGAATTTATAGGTAGCGCCCAATGAGCATTACTAACCAGATACAGAAGTAAACATACTTCAGGAGGACAACAATGAACGTTGGAAAATAAATTGTCATATTTTGAGATACAATAAAAAAAATAGAATAACCGATTAGAAAACACATCAGGATCTAGGTCTGGGCTTGACAACAGAATGGAAAGAGGTTTTATTTGCGAAGTTTTGAATCCATGGGTGAGAGATGATTCCTTCTAGGGACAACCGATCCGTCGGATAACGTTGAAGGATCTGTGAAGATATTATAAATAAATGTATCACTGAAAGATAGTGAAAACAAAGTGAACTGAAACTAAATCAATATACACTAAATTTGTCAGCGATATTTGAACGAACAGATGTCAGTATTTACTGAGATTTTGACAGGGCTAGAATTCAAACAACTACAGGTGTATTACCCATAAAGTGTATCCTACAGATATTTACAGTAGAAACACTTTCCACCTAATATTAAGAAACCAATTAGACGCTGGTTATTATAACTCAACCGCGAGTTTAGAATGTGGTAATAAGACTATTAAATGCGTTATCGGATTTGACCCAAAACTTTCAACAGACAGTAGCAACAACTAACTGTATTATTAAGATGGAAAACTTCAATACTTGCTTCTTACATGAAATGTTTGGTAGAACAAGACAACCTGACAACACAACGTCAAATTCTTGTCTTTAGATGTACACCAGAAGTTTAAGTTGTTCAAGAAGTTTCGTTTAAAATATCAGAAACTGAGTAAACCGGTAGAGTGACCAAATTTCATTAGACGACTATTACAATAGCAAGCGGTTTAGGTAGTATTGAGTATTTTACTATCTACCATATATTGTGTGGAACACTTAGCTTAAGACCATAACAGCGAACGCATCCAAATGCCTTGGTATGGCCGAGAGTGGGGAGAGCCAGCTCTCCTCGAAACGCTCTCACATGGCCACACGTATGCAGTCACTACCAGAGAAGTCATAATCACTACATTATCGCGGCGGGGATGTTGTTCACGAAATTGAGAGGAAGAAAAGCGAATGTCCCACGCTTTAACCGGGTTGGTGGATACTCCGTATCCACTTACGGGAGTTGGAAAACTCTGATCCAAACCAGTGGTGCATATGGGCTCCAGGATCCTAAGGAAACAAATGGCGTATGAACCTATTGTTGGTCACCGGCTACCAAGGGACCGAATCTCCTTACGTTGCTCCACTACCTTGTGGATTAGACCTTTAGGTCAAAGGCTCCGGGTGTGGCCCCCTGAGAAGACCACCTGCTTCGGTTTGAGCACCCGAGCAGTATCACAGCCCTCACACTAATCGGATGATTTATGTGGTGCATATCTATTCGGTGCCTCCTTGTACCAATGTTTATGTGTTGAAATAAGTAAATAAATAATAACAGTGAACTGAACAAATGACTTTGTAAATTACTCCTACTTAAACCCTACCTAGTTTATTCAAAACTATGAACCAACCACTCGTTACCATTGCTCGTAGTTGGGTATGTATTTGTTGATAGCAACGAAGTGAATAAAAAAGGGTCTAACATTGACTAGTCCAGATCAGATTATTTGACTGTGCTGAGAATTGTTTTACTATGAACTACCGATAATATTATTGTATTTATTTAAAAACATCCCACTGAAAGAAGTTACGTAATCAAGTTTCACTTAAAGGATATTATTGGTGTTGTTTATTAAATCAAAAAGGTTGTGTGCGATGGACTTATAATGATGAGACTTACAATACCGTTTGACAGTAAACTACTACTACCACAGACAATTCAATCTTAAACTGCTGCTAATGGATCTATAATGATTTATTCCAACCAGAAATAAGGTGGCATTTAAGGAGGCTTCACTAATATGGTTTGAATAAGCAACAGATAACTATCAAGTTTCAAAACACTATTTAACATATTACAGCGTAGCTACTTTTGAAGTGAAGTGGTGGTTTGAGGTGAATGGCCGAAAATTTTCATTGGAAGACTCCTCAGATATTAATAAAACAGACTCCACGTAATGTTCAAGGTACAACTAGTGAATAAAGCTAAACTTATCGGGAGAATTTCAGCTATATCCCGACTCCCAATACTTGCCGTTAATATGTTATGTAAAACACTTGGCTTAATATAGTTTCACAGAACATTCTACACATGACTATTGAGCACAAGCAGTCTGAAAAGTATACAATTTCTTTTCTCACTAATTATTTTTTTACATAAATTATCATGGACAGTTAGTTATCTAGTCTGATCCAAGAGCTATCTGAAGATGATTCCAATACGGTCAGATAAGTATGTTCTGGAAATACAACTAAAGGTGCCAACTAAAATCAGTATAGTTTTATTTATTTACCCAAAGATCCGGAATAAATGTGATCCTAACAAGATATAAATGGATTTAAAAATCAAAAATTACTTTACTGTCTACTGAAAGTTATTAAGTCACGGACTTTATCCCCATAAACAGTAGTCCCTTGAATTACCTAGCCAGACACTTCAAGATCTTTTCCTTATACTTTAATTACTATCATCTTTGTTGGTCCACTTAGTTTAAGTCCTAATTATGGCTACAGTTGAGAGTTGACTCACTAGTAAATTTATAGTTACTTGCTTGTGTTCACTAGAGTCCTCGAAAAAATAATGTCTGATACACCTCATATATAAGCATCTAAAAAATGGACTAAAAGTACAAAATGTTTAAAAAAAAACTACCTTAGATATCATGTCTTGTGCCATCGGAGTTATAACAGGGGGAAGGTATATTTAACAGTTTTGATACAGGCATAAGTGTCTTGTGTATTAGGATGTTCAAACGGAGGTTTACCACAAAGCATTTCATAGCATAAAATTCCAACAGTCCAGTGATCCACACGTTCGTCATGGGAAACCCCAGCAACCATTTCTGGAGCTAGGTAGTCTATTGTTCCGCAAAGCGTTCGTCTCCTACAAAAAACAGCATGGTATTTGACCAGGAAAATGGAATATAAACTCCCAAAAGACTAAAATGCACCCTTCACTATTATTCCTAATTAAAAAATACCCAATGCATCATAACAGTAATACAATTTACTAGGTAATTTTTCAAATGATGCAATTGCACGACTGTAATATCAAGTTGACTACAATATGAAAAATATTGGGACAATGGGAAGTCCGTTACGCATGCTGAACCATCGTCAACCTCGACGGGCGATGTCTTCTAGTGTAGAAGTAGGCTGGAA